TAACTTATTGGTCGCTGTGTAAGTAGCTAACTCTCCTCCAGGCACTGCTGTGTTATAACATATCTGAGCGGCAAAAGGCAGAAGTCTATGATATATTCAGCAAATATTCAGTCCAATGTCTGTGGGAGATCAGGAAGAGGAGGAAGAAACAGTGGAATTAGTTGTGTGGCACTATCCAGAGGGGGCACAAGGGGAGAACAGGTCATCAAGGCATGAAAATTTGAGCTGGACGGTGGTGTGACTTAGCTTATGGAAGACAAACTAAGTTTGTCATGGAACATTTCCCAGAAATGCTCAGTTTTTTTTGGTAAATAGGTGGTCTTCCTGGGGCTTGGCTGAGGAAGCAGAGTGGTTGCAGTAGAAGAAGTTGATACTGTTCCAGCCTGTACAAGTAAAAAGCAAGGTTTCCATTGGATTGTTGCATTGGTTCAGGGACTGTAAGTAAAGACACAATTTGGTGGACACAAATGAAACAATGGAGCAAGGTCGGCGTTCCTAAATCCAGAGTGCAAGTACAACAGGGGCGTCCCCTGGAAAAGGGGAGCTTCCAGGTTCCCTGCCCCACCAAAAGGAAGGTAGAAATGAGCAGGGAGGAGAAGAAGCTAGATGGGGAAGAAAGCAGAATGGAGAGCCACAAGGAGACTTGAAGGAGGCACAAGGAGCAGAGAGACCTGTTAGAAGTGACTCTTGTTTCTTGATCTTGGACTGGTTGAAATAGATGTGGGTGAGTTTCCCCTGGAGAGGTTAACAACGGCAGTTTTATCTCAATTTTGATTTGCTTTTTCTTCCCAGTCTTGTGTGGCTGCTTCTGACCTTGACCTTTTTTTTTATGGGTCTCTGATAAAAAGTGTTTAGACTGTGGCAGAATTTCCAGCTTTGCTTTGGGCAAACCAGTTTGGGTGGACTTTTACCCAGAAGGGAATGGCTAACTTTCCTTTGGTTGGTGTAGTGGGTCAGTAAGGGAAAAACCAGTTTCCAGTCTGGTGGACACAAATGAAACAATGGAAGTGTTTCTGACCAGAAATGGTAACTACCACAAGCTATAAGTATAGATTTGTAAACTATGTTTTTTGTCATTTCTGTGTTACACACTAATTGTATTATAATTCATTTCCATTAAGGGTCTACATGTTTTGCCTTGATGTGGCAGATGGTGGGACCAATGTCTGGGGTCCCTCCTTCACTGCTCTGTGACACAAAGACTCCTGTGCTATTGATGGAAGAAGGAATAGAAAGGAGGTATCTGAAGACTGACTCACTCCCAAGATTGGGGTAGAAGGGATTAGCATAGCCATTGACCCAGCTGTAGACACCAAGATCCTTAGCACCAATACCTTGATTACAAAGCATGAGATCTAAGCAGCTAGCAGATCTGCTGTAAGGGGTGTCGAGAACACAGACCCAAACATTAAAAGTTAAAGGTATGGAACTTGAGCCCATTATGGGATCTCCTATGTTTTTCTTTTTCAATTTCTACATAGTTTATTCAAAGTCAAGAAAAACCCCAATTCAGGAGGAGTGAGCCCCTCCCAAAGAGAAAAGCCTGTATCAGGGCAGTCTCTGCCCTGGCCTGGGCACAGTCCTGCCTATCTGTGACTGTGTAGGTATCCTTCTACCCACTCTCTGTCTCTCTGTAAGGCAGCAGCAGGTACCATGCCTGGACTGCTCTGCACTGACGTCCCTCAGCAGAGACCCCTCTCCTCAAGGTTTCATGCCTGTACCCTGCAGGCCTCTCTCCCAGCAAACCTGCCCCTCTTGGGGCAGCTCTTCCTGCCCACTTGTGCCCATGCAAGTGCCCTTTATTCTCTGTCTCTTTCCCTAGTAAACCTGTTCTTCAAATATAACTAATGTCTCTGGTGGAGAAACTTACAACATGCCCTGACGGGGAGCCCTGGTGAAACATTTCAGACGGTTCCCCAAAGGATACCACACTCGAAACCCACTAAAACAAAATCAATATCTTCTTCTAGAAATTGATACAGTAAATGGGCTCTCAGATAAGTTTTGCGGATTTGCCTCCTTTGACAAATTTATGACAAAATTGGTTTTCCCAGACCTCTTAATTGTCTGAGGGTTTACTTTTTTTCTCTCCTTTCCTTTCAGTTTCTCTTCTTTTGACAGGTTCAGGGTCACGGAAAGGAACCCCAAACAAAAGCAAATAGTGAGAAAGCTGCCCAGCACGGACTCCTCTTCCTCCCTGTGCTGCCCCCTGCCCCTCCCCATTACTCTTGCTGATTCCCCATTTTTGTTTGTGTTTGTGTAAATAAAGGCTGGTGCCCACTGGTCTCCATCCCAGCACTCACTTTTACTCCCTCCCCTTTGAGGACGCTCGCCACCTTCCCTTTTCTTTGTTGAACATTGTATAAATAGCCCTGTAACTTGCTGAAGACCAGGACGGTGGTCTTTCGGACATGAGTCTGCTGCCCTCCTCATTTGTCCACAAATGAAACCACTTTCCTTTTCCTCAAACTCTGTTTCCTTTTATTGGCTGAGGGAAACTGAGACCTAGTTCGGTAACAAAATGTGTGGTTACTGGGGATCCATGGGTATTTTCTTGATTTAGTTTTGTTAGGGTCTGAAATCACCCGGTTGTCCCCTGCGACAAAGAACAGGACCAGAGATGCACAAGCAAGCAGAGTTTATTAAGCCAGCTAGCTGGGGTCAAGCCTTCCTGCAGGCACGCAGGCCACACAGGGAGAACAAGGAATGCCAGAGAATATATAGGCCCTTATTGGCCGTTACATACGTCATAGTGTAACAGGTATAGGAATCCAATTCACATTGGGGTGCCCTGTAACAATAGCTGGTGCAAATTCAAAGAGTAACAAGATTTTCAGTGCTCAAGGAAGAGTTTTTAATAACAGCTGTCTCAGTCATGAGTCAGAAGCTGATATCAGGGTCTAGTTTCAGCCATTTCCAGGAGCTGGCACCAGGAATGCTATCTGCCTGCCCTTCTTTCTGGGCCCAGGGTGAGTCTTAAGCCCAGACATAGGGACCTAGGGGCCTAACAGTTTATCTGCCAAAGCTGATTTGATTGGGTGGAGATGTTGAACTTTGTGAAGCCCTCCTTTTGTTTTGAAAAGCTTTTTTTTTTTTTTTTTGTTTTTTGGGTTTTTTCTTGTCATGAACAGGAAGTCCCACACTCTAGCTCACACAGACCATTGCTGAAGCAGCAAAGAGGCAGAAGCATCCAGGCCTAACTAGAAATGGCAACCCAGAATGTAAAATTCCCAGAGCACCTTTCCAAACTGATGGACATACTGGTCAAGTATGGCCACACGCTGGGCTACGGCGTGTTGACAGCGCTGACAGCAGGCGGGGAGCTCATCTTCTCTAACACAGTGTTCAAGTGCCCCTGCCACCCCACCTGGAACCTGCCCTATGGCCTGGTCTTCCTGCTGGTGCCCGCGCTGGCGCTTTTCCTCTTGGGCTACTGGATGAGCACACGAGCCAGGCTCCTGATGACCGGTTGCTGCCAGCGGGCCAACAGCCAAGGTTGCTGCCTGTGGGTCAACAACCAAGGTTGTTGCACCCTTTGTTGTCAGTGCTGTGATAACTTCCTGAAGATGAGCACTGTCTCCATTGTCGCGCCCCTCACCTGGGTGGCTGTGGCGCTGCTAGGGGGCAACTACTATGAGTGCTTTGCCAGCGGAATTCCCTACTTAGCGCGGCGCATATGCGTCAGGCACACAAAAAACTGCTCCATGATCTTGCCCGAGTTGCCCTGTCTGCGGGACAAAGAGCCGGACCTGCGGGGTCTCCTGAGCAAGCTCCAGGCCCAATCCCAGGTTTGGAGGTGGTGCTACAGGGGGTGGTGGGAAGAGGGGCTCACGCTTCAGGAGATAGGGTTGTCAGGCGGACCCGGTGAGGTGAAATCGCCTGTCCAGGTATGAGACACCTGTGGACAAACTCGGTAGCTACCGCTTAAATCCCTTTATTCTCAACCTGAACTGCACGGTGGCTGGCGGCTCAGAAAGCCAAAGCCTGAACCACTCCGTATTTTTGCAAAAAGAGTTTTATTCTGGGCATCCGAGAGCAGGGCAGAGCAAGGCGTTTTTAAAAGCCTTCTCCACTGCTGCCATTTGAAAGGGGTGTAAAGAAAGCACAAGGGGCTTGTGCGGCAGGGGTACCCCAACTGCTGCAGTTAGCTGTTGACCCTTTTGCCCTAGAAGGCTTCCTTGTTCCTTAACTGATCCTAATGACATTTAGGTGGTTTCTGTGGGCTTAAGTGTTGCAGATTGCTTCTGGAAAGGAACAGAGCTCCAGTAATATGACCAGCTCTATACTTTGCCTCCAGCATCTTCTTTTACATCTCACAGCCACTCTGTATAGAGAATACAGGAGTTAGCCAGAACAATGCAGAATTGTTATAATAAAGTGGGTCTGCCTGTAAAGCTCCACACCTCACTATTGGAGTTCAATGGGTTTTGGAAAGCAATACTTGTTTCCCTGGGTTTGCTGATATTTCCTATTTTGAGTTCCAGTTCTCCCTGAGTTTCTGCATTTACTTGGAATATTGATTCATCCAGCAAGCAGTTGTACAAAGAAAGGAGTTCTGGAGGTCATGCCATCCTTTTTCTTAAGGGATTAA